AGTCTAGATCCTCAAAGGTTTTTAGGTGCCCAAGGCCCACTGATGTCCCTAGGAGTGAGGGTCCCAAACACCTCAGGAGCAGAATCTGCATGGCTTGCCCAAGGCCCCAGAGGAAGCCTGTGATGGAGTAAGGAATCACCCCAGATTTACCAAGACTAGTCTCTTAATTAAGGGGGTCATCCTTCTCCCCTTCAGTGTTTGAGGGGAAGTCTTTATCTGCGTTCAACATTTCAGTGAGATCAGTTGAGTCTTTAGCCTGGCCCCAGGACAGGCTGGAAACAGATCCCAGAAGACTGGACAAAATGAGGTGGGAAGCTGAGGATCACAGCTTGTTACCTATGAAAAAGGCAATTGAGCCCAAGAGGAAGAAATTCGTCTCTTTAATTTGGGAGCCAGCTTTTGGCCAACAGGTCCCAATGAAAAAAGAAACACTGTGTTGGTTGGTAGGTTGCAGGAGAAATGGAGCACGAGTGTCCTCCCAACATGTTTTCTGTAGACGTTCGGAGAGGTCTGTTATAGGATGAATGCCCCACCTAAGCAAGCTGCAGGATGGAAAGGTGGCAGCAGCAACCAACTCGCGCCTGTAGGAGGACAATCAAAATAAAGAGAGAGTTTATTGCTGACCTGCAGCTGCCGTGGTTCTTACTTTATTTTATTATTTATTTGAGAGCCTATTTAAACTCATGGATTTTTAGGCCAGAAGGGACCATTAGGGGCCATCTAGTCTGATCTTCTGTATTTCACAGGCCATTAATTTTCACCCAGTCACCCCTGAATTGAGCCCAATAACTTTTGTTTGGCTAAAGTATATCTTCCAGAAACGCGTTCAGTCTTGATTTGAAGACATCCAGAGATGGAGAATCCACCACTTCCCCTGGTAGTTTGTTCCAGTGATTAATCACCCTCACTGTTAAACTTTTGTGTCTAATTTCCAATTTGAATTTGCCTGGCTTCAGCTTCCAGCTGTTGGTTCTAAGATTAAAGAGCCCTTCAGTGTCCAGTGTTTTTTTCCCCCATGAAGGTACTTATACACTGCAATCAAGTCATCTCTCAATCTTCTTTTGATGAGATAAACAGATTGAGCTCTTTAAGCTTCTTACTGCAAGGAATTTCCTCCAGCCATTTGAATCATTTTTGTGGCTCTATCCTGCATCCTCCCCGGATTTTCAACACCTTTGAAAAATGTGGGCACCAGAAGTATATGTACTATCCTATCTTGGCCTCACCAATGCTGTCTGCAAGCATAAAACTGCCTTGCTTCCTCTGTTCATTACTCCTGTGTTTATACATCCAATGATCCTATTAGCCTTTTTGCCCCAGCACAGCACATGGAGCTAATGGTGAGTTGTTTGTCCACTCTGACCCTTAAATCCTTTTCAATGTCATTGCTTTCCAAGATACAGTCCCACATTCTGTAGTTAAGACCCACATTCCTTGCTCCTACATGTGTGACTTTGCATTTGGCTATATTAAAACACATTTTGTTTGAATAGACTCAGGTTACCAGGCAATTCAGATCACTTGGTATGATTGCCCTCTTCTCATCCTTATTTACCTCCCTGCCAGTCAGTGTGTCATCCACAAATTTCATCAACGGTGATCTTATATTTACTTCCAGATCATTGATGAAAACACTGGATAGCGCTGGGCCTAGTACGGTCTCCATGTTAATCTAGTAGTAGGAGGGAGAGGAGACTCATGATCTAAACCTTTTGAGTGTCGTTCATATTTGTATTGCAACTGCGGTGTACAATCATATCCACATCTGGATATGGGTAATGAGTTCATGTGTATAGAGTTAGGACGTGGTGGGTTTGCTGTCATGGATGGGAATGAAGGTATTGCAGATGCCTCTGTTCTTACAGTCACTTTATCAGCGATTGTCACTGTTGCTGCAGGGTCTACCCTTTGTATCTGTGGCTTTTACAGCTGTTTGCAAGCGGTGGGGTTTGAACAGTTGTTACAGTGGTAGCTGTTGTTTCTCTTGTGGCTGTATCTGCAGCTGTGTGGCTGGTATTTTCCCTGGCAATTGTTGCAGGTGCTGCAGAGACAACTGTACAGCAATTCTGCTGCAGCTGCAGGGGTTGCCGCAGGCAGGTTCTGCCACTGTGGGGATCAAACAAGTTCGGTCTTGCTTAGTTGCTGCTGAGGCTATTGCCATTTCAGTAGGGCACGGGCACTGCTTCTGCTTGGTGCTGCTGCTGATTGGAGTAGGGGATGCATTCACCAGTCTCTTCCTACCAACTTCCTGAGACTTCAGAATTAAAAATACCGCTAGCTTCAAATGAGAGAGACCCCCTGGGTTCA